TTTCCCATGTTTTACATCACCCGCAATCCGCACCCACTAACAATAGTTTCAAGTTCTTCCACTTCGAGTTCGCCGAGATTTCTAATCAATCATCATCGCCGTTGGTCCGCCAGCCGCAGCAGGCGGAGTCAGTCCCAGCATGTATGGTCCTCCACCGGCTGCCACACTTGCCTTGGCCGCCGCCGTGATCTGCGCCAGCCGTTCCCTCTCCGCCTTCTCCTTATCCCTCTGCTCCTTCTCCAGTTTCGTGATTCTCGGCTTCCTCGTTCCATCTCCGCCGCCCCGACCACCTCGACTCCCCGGCCCACCGCCTCGTCCTCGTCCACTTGGTTTCTCCGACGCTGCGGTGTCCGCTCCATGTCCTGCTGCATTAGCACCACCGCGTGTTGTCCCACCTCGTCCGCCTCTGCTGCCCCTTCCTCCACCACGTCCGCGACGAGCCGGGGGTGCCACTTCGGGCTTAGGAACCTCGGGAATCAGCGGGCCAGAGTACACAAAGAATCCATCCCTGGAAGCAGCCGCTTGCGCCTCCCAGAGCATCTCCGAGTCGTCGACAAAGTCATCATCAATATCGTATTCGTCCTCCTTGAAGTTCCTCTTCTTTCTCGCCGGTTTTGCTGGCGCCTCTGGGCCCGAGGCGACGCCATTTGTAGTGGGATTGAGACCGCCCATGCCGCCCATCTCAATGTTGCTGTTTTCCGCGTCGGATTGGATATCCTCGTCCATTTCCTCTCCAGAATCCCGCCCACTGGTGCCCACGGACTTTTCTAGTGCGGCAGTAGCGGCTGCGATGCGCGCTTTGCGCTCCCGGTTGGCTGCTTGTCGAGGGTGTAGAGCGTCCCAACCGTATTGCTCCTCGGCCATGCGCATGAAGTTGACGTACTTGTTTGTTTCACCATTCAGAGGAATGTGGATCTTGATTGAAGGTGCTTCGATTTCCTGACCGGGGTTAACCTTGCCAAAATCGAGGATGGACCGCTCGGTGCCGTGACCACCGACCGAGGGTAAGGGGGGGAGGAGGGCATCTTTAAGGCTGTTGCTGCCGCCACTGGGTTTGACAGCTTCTGAGGAGTGGTTGCTCCCGGTCTTGTTTCCGCGGGAATGGGTGCTTTCGCGTTCTTGTTGCACAAGAGCTGTGAGCTTCTTGTTGTTGGTAGGGGGAGCTGTTGTTGATGGAGCCGCTGTTGCTGCATTGGTAGCGGCTGCTGCTGAAGATGTCGGCGGAACTGTGGACATACTGGTGAACGAGTTCTTGGGAGGCGATGGTTTTCTCTGGGGGGCCGCTGGTGCGGGAGGTGGCGGAGGGGCACGCCTAACTTCGATAATTTGCGGCTTGGCGATTGGTTGTGGCGTGGAGCGCACAGGGTTGGAGGAGGGAGGAGTGGCCGATGTTGACTCTTGGAGTCGCGACTTTGTGGCAGCGGTGTTGTAAGGCGTTTGGTGTGACGGGACAGGCGACATGATGTTGGGGGGAGCAGGAGGATCGACCAAGCTCGCAATCGATGGCGAGGCGCTGGCTCGGTTGACAGGCTGTGAGGTGGGGGCGCGCGGAGAACCCATGATGGAGCCGGTGCCGAAAACGTCTCTGGACATCATGGTTTCTCGGACTGGGTCGTAACTGCCTCTTATAGGATCAAAGACTTGCCTGGAAGCGGTAGGCTGGGACTTGGGCGGTGGGTCCTCTTCGTTGAGCAGATGGCTCATGGACACGGGATGGGTCTCGCGCTTGGGTATCTTTGGCGGCCGTTGATCGGGGGGAAGTAGATGTAGGGGCATCAATGACCCTTTGGACCTTTGGGCGATACCATGATATTGATCAATCTCCATCGAAGTGTCATGGTCGGCGGCATCGGGGGCGTCGTCGGTCGCGGCGGCTTTCCTCTTTCTCACGATAGGAGGGGCATTGGGGTCTCTGGGCTTGCGCGGGCGGCGCGGCTTGGGCTGTTGCTCGGTGGCGGTCGAGTTCTCGTCGGCGGGATCTTTGGGTTTCGGTTTGCGGCCGGGCTTCTTGCGGGGCACACCGGCAGCGGTCAGGCGGACCTCGGGACCGTGCTGGGGTGGTTGTTGGGACTGCATGATGCTGAACTGGGCAGCGCTAGAACCGGGATCAACAACTATCTCATCCATGGTGGCGGTTTTTGCGCGATTCGATTGTATGGGACAGTGAAGAGGTACCGGATAGTTGGGGTGTGGCCGTGGTGGCTGTACCGACGGGGGAACAGGTACCAGTCCTGTCCTGTCCTGTCTCGCTGCTAATGGACGATACCGGGTACGCGGTCCAGTCCTTACTCGGTGTGTCTCGTGTCGCGTCGTGTCTGTCTGTCTCTTGGGTGGTGGTATAGATGGATGCTAGGTAGGTAGCCAAGTGCCGATAGGTAATGATAGCAAGTGGGAGCTGGCACAATCTGGGCCGGCCTGGCTTCGGTGTTCGGTGGGTTCCTCAACGAAAGTGCCCTGGCTTAGGTAGCTAGGTTGCTACACTTGGCTGGCCCTGCTGTGATGTGGTGTCCGGCTCCGGGGGAGAGGTGTGGGTGGGCGTATTATTAGCTGACAGCCGCCAATCGGTTCGCGCAGTGGGCCTGCCGGGAACAGCCAATGGATGGACTGCCAAGGAGTGCGTGGTTTGACCTTGGGGGGTCTGGGGGTTCCTCTTGAGGTTTTTGGGGTTTCCCTTATTTGGCGGGCGGGATGCACTGATGCACCACCACTTGGCTGAACTGGGCGGCGACTTCAGTTACTTAGCTCCAAGCCGTGGTAACGTGACCGGGCTGCTTCTTGGCAGACTTGCTGGTGCCGCTTGCTAACTCGCCGGCCTGTGTTGTTGCGAAAAAGTGGGGATTTGCCGGTTGGGAATATCCTCAACTCGCAAGAGATGCTGCACCACCTGCCAGAACCTGGTGACAAGGTGGTCAAAAAAAGCCCAGTTATGGACGAGCGGATGGGGGAAACGGGCAATCGCGCTGGACGCTTCGATGCGGCGGGATTTGCGAAAATGAAGAATCGACTTTTGAAATGCGCAACCCGACAAAAGAGAATGGTTGTGATGGATTTTGTCAATTGCAGTGCAAAAGTCGGTGGGTGTTTTGGTGAGAAAGAGAGAAGAGAAAGGGTGAGGATGGGCGGAGGTGGGAGGTTGTGCGAGGAAGGGGGAAATAGGTAGGAAAGGGAAAACACCGAGCGGGAATGGAGATGGATGGATGGCTACGTGTTGAATGGACTGACTGGGAACGATTAATTATTTTGCAGCAGCGCCCAGCAGCTGGCCGGGCAGGTTAAAATGCAATGGGCATCGGCTCGCTCGCTCCCAATTGCATGCAAATGAACAACAAGTCAAGACAACCCAAAGGGAAAACCGGGGCCCCGACAATACCAAACGCAGTGGCCTGGATAGACTCGCTTTTTGGGCCATCAGGGCATGTGGAAGCCAAGGCGAATCAGAAACATTGCTTTGGGTGAGGTGTGTGAGGTGGCCATGCCTCTCTCTCTCTCTCTCTCTCTATCTCAGACCTCATGACGGCAGGCCGGAAGAACCAAAAGAAGCACTGCAGAAACAACTAACATTTGGGTGGGGGGGTTTGAAGGAAAAGGCAAAAAGGCACAGACTCCAAGTGCTACTTATCACTTGTGCCAAGCAGTTAGCAGCAGACATCGATCCATGTGCGGGTGGCTTGTGAGAGAGGGAAACGGGAAAATACAAGAAGCGAGTGCGAGCGATAGACAGGAATGAAAGGAAAATGCCAAGAAATGGTGGTATTTTGGACCAATGGGAATAGCAGAAAGGACAGATGGAGAAACAAGGTTACACTCCCACGGCCCATCAGTGGACGACCGACTGGACTGCAACACCTCGCAGGGGCCACAGGGCTTCTTTTGGGGTTCTTGGGAAAAAGTGACCTGTGTGAGGGACCCGATCCGTTTGGGGTTCAAGTTGGAGGTGATGCATGACTCCACACGGCGCGCACCGCTGCACGGCTGACTAACCGGTCCAGCATGTGTGGAATAGGAGATGTCAATTCAGCTTCAAGGCTGGCATAGTAGTAGAAATGAACCTTGCCTCATAGATGAGTTGCCCGCAGAGCTAAAGTGGTTTGAATTGTAAACTGCCGGTGTGATGTCAGGTTGACTTTGGGAATTCACCGTTGAGCGAGGAAACTGAAGCCGAGACTCAAAAGAGGACAACACCCGACAGTACGAACCAAACGAGGGTATCCCGTGCTAGCGCAACGAGATGCGATAAGAGGCGGAAAGCACACGGGCCACCTCCAAGATCTCAGACCCCTTGTCAGGTACGAGCGCTCGTACCGGTACGTACCGTGATTCCAGATTCTGGATGGATGCTGCGCGACATTTGGAGCCGCGCTTGTGCGACCCACTTGACTAGCGACACACAATAACCGCGACGAAACTGAACTGAACTCTGCAGTGCAGTGGCCATTCCAAATTTCAGTTGCCGGTACGTCACACTCGTCAATGCGGCTGGTCAGCCACACGAACATAGCTTCGGTCAGAATTGATGATGCCGTTGCGGCTACGGTTTCCATTGTTGAAAGTACTTGAATCTACAATGTACACTACCTTGGGGCCGGGGAACGACACATTCTGCGTGGTAATACGTACCTATTAAATGACAACACCAGATTGCGATTCCGAAATACCCTCCTTCTGCGTGCGTACTGCAGCCGGTGTGTTGATAGGCCCTGGCCGCATTATCTTGGTGCAACGGCGAATGACAAGATCTCGGACACCCACTCACGCTCAGTAGAGGTAGGTAGGTATGTAACGCAACCACCAACCCGGCGAACACAAAGCACACGACCGCCCAGATGCCATCAAGTGACTGACTGACAAAGAGGAAATCGGCATGAGCTCACTTGGCATAGTCGACGAGAATGTCGGAAACAAGCTCATCTCATGCTGATCTCTTCCCTTGGAGACCATCGGACCAGCGGGCACAATGTGCATGTTGGTATTTCGGAATACGAAACGCGAAACAGACGACCAAAACGGGGCCAAATGAAACCCCAAGCCGCGCACGGTACGGTAATGCACTGTAAATACTAGCATGAATACTGTGTACTCCCCGTGTCTTGGATCGCCGCTAATGCAGTGCTGGCCTCGTTAAAGCCGGGATCCGCCGCTGACAATTCTTTTTCCTTCGGCAGGCAAGGGAAGCCCCTCGTTGCATTTCTTTGAACTTTATGCCGGATGACCGAATCTGTATCAAAGAGAACCCACGGCTTTCTTGGAGCGCCGCATACATTATCCCCCGTTATTCGCCATTACCATCGTCATCACCGTCAACCAAACAACTCAACTCGTTCAATACTGACTGACAAACGCCGATAACAAAGATATAAAACGACCGCGACACATCACAACAGCCTCAACACAATGGACGGCACTCTCGAAATCCTCGATGTCAAGGAACGCAAAGTGGGCGAGGTCAAACCTCCCTCGTTCCCAACTCCGCCGCCTGCTTCCTCCGGAGGGTTTCCCGCTCCCAAGAAACGAGTGTCTGCCTTCAAGAAGCAGCGACAGCAACAAGCAGACCCATCGTCCTCGTCATCCCAAGCGACCACACCAGTACCATCACCAGCCATCCAGTTCACCAGCGGCGCGAGGCCCCAGATCGACGCGGACCCTATCAAATCCGAAAAGCAGAGGATTGACGAGGAGAACAACAAGCTCTTGAGCTCCATGTCGCCAGAAGAGATTGCCGAAGCCCAACGAGAGCTCTTCAGTGGCCTCGACCCCAAGCTTATCCAGATGCTTCTCCGACGAGCCAACGTCGAGGACGGCTCCAACAACAACGACCCCAAAGTCTGGGACATTCCCGAGAAACCGGTCGACGAGGAGCCAACGGAAAAGAAGGCCGACGTCGGTAGCGGTCCCACCATCTCCTACAAGAAGCCACCCTCCATCCAGACCTCGAGCTCGAAAAACGCATACGTACAAGATGAAGATGAGGAAATGGCCGACGAACAACCAAAGAAACCCAAAAAGACCGTCACCTTCAACGAAGACCTCGCCCCCGAACAGCCTCCCTCCGGCAGCTTCCCCATCCGATCCAAACAGCCACCCACGCCCTACCCCCAAAAGACCAGCTTCTCCGCCGAAGACCTTGCCATGCCCACCGCCGGCTCCTCCTCCGAACCACAAACTCCCACCACAACGCACCAATGCAACGACCCCTCCCACAACCACGGCGGCGACGAAGAGCTCAAGGGCGTGCACTTCCCCGCCGCCCCCGCCCCTCCCGACCTCGACCCTTCAGACCCCGACTTCCTCGCCACCCTGCACCAAAAGTTCTTCCCTTCGCTTCCCGCCGACCCCTCCAAGCTCGCCTGGATGGCGCCCATCCCCACCGAAGACTCGCCTGCCGACCAGGAATCCCCTTACTACCCGGGCCAGACCTCGCTGCCCGTCTCGGCGCTCCGCTTCGACTTCAAGGGGCGACTGATCCCGCCCCGTCTGTCGCGCCAGATTCCCGTGTCCAAGGGCCTGCACCACCACGGCGAGGCGCCCGAGGCAGCCGGGTACACGATCCCCGAGCTGGCGAGGCTGGCGAGGAGTAGTGTGAATAGTCAGAGGTGCATTGCGTTTAGGACGCTGGGGAGGATGCTGTATCGTCTGGGAAAGGGGGAGTGGGGAACTGGAGCGGGCGGTAGGGATGGCGATGAGGATGATTTGGCGTTTGCGCTGTGGAGGTGTTTTCAGGAGGGAAGGGTGTTGGAGAGTATTGGGGAGGCGGCGGATGTGGAGGAGGGAGTGGGCAGTGTGAGTGTGAGGGCGTATGCTATTGAGGCCATGTGGTTGTTTGAGAAGGGCGGGTGGAAGGAGAAGTGGAGGGGTTTGTGAGGGGGGTGGATGAAAAGGGAAGAAAAGAGGATGTGGATAAGAGTCGTGGAAAACTTGTGCCTTTGTGGTATAGTAGGAAATGGGCATGACATGGGATGGGATGGGATGGGACACCGACTGACCGGCTGGCCGGCAAGGGATAGGGTAAAATGGAAATGGATCGATGGGGGCGGATCACTGATTTTTTTTTTGGTTTTCATACCCTTTGGTGTCAAATTGCAATTTTCATACTTACTAACTGAAGAGGTCTAACATTGTAGACAAAATAAATTGTCCCCTTTGGTCGGGTCGGTTGCAGCTTACCTTACGTATGAAGCTCGGGGTCTCTTCCTGTATATCCGCACTTAGTATATCTCATGCAGAAGAACTTCATTTCTTTCACTGTATAGTATTCCTACAACCTAGTTTTCCACCAAATAACTGGACTATATCACATCGATTCTTAGATTCAAGATATCCTCAACTATAATTACTGGTTGACTCTCAATACATATCCCCGGTGGCTACCTACTCCCTGGAGGCCCCGGTCCCTCTAGGTAATCCTGCTTCAATTGTTGAAAATTCAGATGGGTTATGATCAACCTGACAGAGATAGATGTATTCGAACAACTCATAATATTTTTTTTCTTCCTTTTGTTACTCTATTCTCACTCGACTACTGTAAACTACTGCTCTCTTTGCAGTGTTCTACTTCCGTATCTCTTACACTTCAATCATATTGCGCTATACGACCAGGCCAAGACTTGTACTTGACATTACTATATGCCTCTTGCCTAGCAGTCTAATCATGACAAAGATTCTGTTTGGTCTCCTTGGTTAGACTTGGTACCTTGAACTCACCATGTTGCAAGTTTGATCTTTATTAATCCCTAGGGAGTACTGTACTTAGCCTAGCTGACCTCTTTTAATGGAGGCGTTTGGACTCTGACGAACGTTAGCTAGGTATGCTAGATACCTACCTACCTCCATGGTCATGGAAGAAGATAGGTACTTAGAGAAGACATAAGGGTCTGTATTGGAAGGCGCGAAAGAACAAATGGAAATTACGTACTGTAACTAGAGGAATATTCCAATATCACGTAACAGTTCGTTTCATCTCATCTCAGTTGATCTCGCCGCATTGAGCCCGGCCCGGTTTGAGGTGGTCCCCGTCAAGATGGACACAGGCACGCCAGACGGGATGAAATCGAGGAATCGAGAAAAGTACCGGATTACCAGAGCTTCAATTAAATTTGATCACTTTTCATTTCAGCAATCCGCTCATCACTTAGTACCTCTAGCCTTTTCATCCAAATCATGCCCATGCTTTCTACCACTCATATATTGAACCTGGATATCCAAAATCAAACAACCTCATCACCCATCTTTTTCGCTGTCTTCTCGCCCAACACCCCTGAAGTCGTCAAAGCAGAAGAAGGCACAACCACCCCCTCCCCACTAATTTCCCCTTGTCCCTGTCCCTCACCCGTCCTCGTCGTCGTCGTCTCCACCATCCCCCCTCTCTGGTCCTCCTCCGCTCTTCCAGGTGGTCCTTCCTCACTTTTTTCATCATCTTCTACAAGTCCACCACCACCCCTCCTTTCCCTCTCCCCCTTATCCCCTTTCATCCTCCTCCTATCCTCCCTCGCCTGCTCCTCCCTCATCATCCTAATCACCCTACTCCGCCCTCTAATCCTCTCTCCATACTGATAAAAGATAATCGGAATCGGAATCAACAACACCTCCAACACACCCAATATCGTGCCCGCAATCTGCGGCGTCAAATTCCGATACATTGCCGGTCCCGCCAGCGGCAACACGCCTCCGGCCACGGACCTTAGGAACGAATTGGCCGCCAGCGCCGACGCAGCATACAACCCGTACGCGCCCGCCAGGTAATTCGATCCGTAAATAAAACTAATGGTGTTGCCCATCCCGAAAGGCACGCCAAAGATGATGGGCACGATCCAGTGGATGGAAACCGGTAGACACGTCCAGCTGAAAGCCAGCTGACCAAAGGCAGTAAGGATCGCGCCGATAGTCATAATGTACGCTTGGGTTTCGGGCGCCGGACGGCCTGTCTCGATATCGAACTTGGAGGTGCGCTTGTTGATGATGGATCGCCAAAAGGGCTCGAGAACAATGGAAGCGACGGTGCCGCACCCCATTCCTAAAAAGGCGAGGCCGACTTGGCCTGTGGACCAGCCGCGGTGTTCCTTGAAGACGATGGGGTAGGCGACGAAGCAGAGGTACAAGATGGCGTAGACGAGGGAGATCCACGTGTTGAAGAACCAGAGGATGGGCTCGGTGGCGGCCAGGACAAAGGGGCGGCTGAGGTTGGTTTTGAGGAGTTGGAGGGTGGACACTTTTTGGTCGAAGCGCGACCAGTACCGGTCGTCGCCGGTGGACTTGCGCAGACGGGCGGCTTTGGCGCGCAGGATGGCGGGCGCGTAGGTCTCGCGGATGGTGGCCATGAAGAGGATGGCTGCGCCGGAGAGGATGAGAACGATCCAGTTGGCCCAGCGGAAACCGAGGTATTGGTAGGCGAAACCGCCGATCAAGGGGCCGGTGACGGGGCCGTTGAGCGGGGCGATGGAGGTTACGGCCATGCAGAGGGCGAGGTAGTCGGGGTGGGCGATGTCGACTACGGTGGCGGGCGAGTTGGAGACCATTACTGCGCCGAAGAGAGCGCTGTTTTTGATATCAGCCATTACACTTGTTCACCCACTGACTTCATCAACCAAACCACAACTCAACCAGAAACCAAGAACAACAAAAAAAATGAGGGGGAAAAAACATACCCAAAAAACCTCACCACAATAATCTCCGCCAAACTACTCGGCATCGCACACGGCAAAATCAACAGCGCAAACACCCCCAAACTAATCAAGTAAATCGGCCTCCGTCCGTACAACTCGCTCAGCGGCGCCAGCGCCAAACACCCAATCGCCAATCCAAACAGGTACGTCGTCAGCCCCAGCGTTGCGACAGGTTGATTCGTCACATGATACTCCTTCATCAACCCGGGGACAATGGCCGTGTACGAGGAGGAATACAAAACCACGACCCACGTGCTGTACGAGCACGCAAAGATGGTCCAGCAGCGGTACCACAGCGGCCAGTTCTTGGGGTTTTCTGGGTCGTTGACTGCAAAAACGACTTCAAAGTCGGGCGGGCGGGAGGCAGAGGAGAAGGTGGATGTGCGGGTTTGGACGGTGGAGAGGCGGGTGGCGTTTTCGATGGAGGCGATTTCGTCTTGTTGGTGGTGGTGGTGTTGTTGTTGTTGTTGCTGGTGGAGGGCTTCGAGGTGGCCTGAGGAGAGGGAGGTGCTGCTTGCGCTGACGCTGGGGCTGCCGTGGGACTTGGACGACGAGGAGGAGGAGGAGGCATGACGGTGTCGGGAGGGTTTGTCAACTGGTGGTTTGGAAAGGGAGGAGAGGTCGTCTGTGGATGAGAGGGGGTAATTTGATGTTGGACGGTCTTGTGGTGGTGGTGGTGGTGTTGGTGGTGGTGGTTGCTGTTGTTGTTGAGACGTATTTTGTGTCTCAGGGTCGAGCATCTTGACCATGATGTCTCCTGTGGTAGTGGTGGTGGTCATGGTCGACGGCCCTGTTGTTGGTTGGTCCACCTTTGGACCAGTGTCTTGAATGGGTGAGGCAGGAGGGATTGGGATGACGGGAGTCTGTCTGTCGACTATGATCTCATGTTCTCTATCACGGGTTTTCTAAAAAGAAGGAAGATAAAAACACAACAAAGAAACTTTTCTTGTGATGTTGGGGGGGGGAAGAGGCGGGCAATGGAGTGCCTAGATAAGAAGGAAGACTGAGCCAACGATGATGGAAAGCGACATGGCTCGCATCAATAGATGTAACAGAAGCTTACTATGTATGTAGGTAGGTACTAGTGTTTAGCTATCTTAGTTCACGCCCGTCATCTTGAAAACATCAATGTACGGAACACTTGTATGCAGTTCAACAAGGCAAGCTGCTGCAGGACTGCCTCTATCACTACCCGTGCATGCGACTGGTGGTATCACGGCAGCGGGAACGAATAGAAAGGGGGGGAACGGGGACGGGGAAGCCTCGGCCAGCCGTTTGCGGGATTGCGAAGCGTCATCCACACCTTTCCCACTCGGGGAAGCGTCGAAGAAGCCCTTTACCTCGGGGAGTTTGGGCATGACACTCTTGAGTACTTGAGTACTTGACTGTTATCGTCTCATACCAGACACTGTGGAATCACGGAGTTTATTTCTCCTGGGAGATGATCATGATCTGGTTTCTTTGAGTACAAGATACCGGAAATACTTTGCGTTTCTTTTGGTGTCTTGTCGGGCTCGAGGTTGACAAGACGGAAGGGAATGAGTGTCTGTTTGGGTCCCAGTGAGATCGACGAGAAGCGGCAGGGGACATGCAACCCACAAAACAAACAGCGGCAGAGAGTTGAATGGATGTGCGGAGGTGTGGGTTCTTGCGTCCATCAAACAGTGGGTACATTCCCCCGCTGCATGCCCCTGGGTAGGTAATGGAGCCCCGCTAAAAGTCCAGGCCAGGGGCAGCCGCTGCCCGATCACGGATGAAGTGAACGCCAAGATAGGTGGTGATTGGCGATTCCTATTCCTTCTGACTGTCTTCGGCCTGACCTTTCGGCAACTTTACAGCTTACAGTGTCTGTAGTTCTGAATGACTGCACGACAAAGGAATCGGGGGTTGTACACCTCAATACGAGTGGAAGACTAAGCAGAAGGTTGCTCCAAGGGTAAGGACACTGAATACTCCCGGGGTAATACCAACCAACAGCACCTTTCTCTCTTCCCATTACCATTACCCAATTCTTCAGCATCAAAGGGCAGTCAATGCCTGTGCAATGATGCAGTGGCTTGGCTTTGTCGCACAACAGTCCCAAACAAATGGGTGTCATGACAGGCAGACCAACATCGCGGATACTGGAGTCGGCAATTGCACCGCATCCATCCCGCCCGTCAGCCTCAGCCCGTCAGATCCTTCTGCTTTCCTGACCGACGGCGCGGCGGGAAGAGTGAATAAACCACATTGGACACCTGCAAGAGAGACAGACAGACATGTCTCGGGCGGCCGGCCGGCTTACTGTCCACTTGTCACGGCAAGGGATGCAATGAGTGTCGGCTGCGCTGCGATGTCGGTCTTCCTGTTTCTTTTTACACCATGAAAAGAAACCCCCCATTTTGACATCAGCCAAAGCATATATTTACGCATGCACATTGATGCTTTTTGCGCACTGCAAAGAACACGGGATTTCGTACGGTCATGCGACGGAAGAAGCATCGTGATGTAAACATATACCTAGGTACATTACCCTAACCCTCATATTTACCTACCTACCCTTACCTTACATACACGCACCAACCACCACCCGGTGCAAGTCCCAAGTGTAACACAACGAACCAAAACGGTACACTCAGCGTAACACGGCGGGTTTACGCGACTGCGAGGTGGGTGAGTCCGTGAGAGGCCGGTTGGTAAAAGGATTGAAGGATCCAGATATTTGATGCCCGTGTTCAGCAGGCCGATTGACGCCTAGATCTATTTCAATCAAAAAAAAGGCCTTCTCAAGGCTCCATAGCATCGGCATATCGAGATGAGATGGATGGATCTCCATCGGATCTTAAAAAGTCGGCCGGCATGCATGTCAAAAGAGGGGGAACCGCTCTACGTCGGTCAAATCATCTACCGTTGCATCCTCATCTGACCAATTCGTGATAGACAGTTCTAGCTCAAGGTCCTTGATATACAAGAAACGGTATAACAAGGTGCGCATGAACGAGACCAATTCGCCTACCAGTATTCTACGTAGTATCCTGATCGATGGGACCGGGACAGACCAACAGACAAAGATGAGAAAAAAAAAAACATGATTGTTTCTCCACGAATTGGGACGTTTAGCAACTGGGGTCAAGGTCGCTTGGATGGGACGTTGACTTTCTTGGGATGTTACACTGAAGGTCGAACTCATGAGAGTTGCGGGGTAAAAGGGAGATGAAGATGGACTCGAGAAAAGTCATAAAAACAACGGGGTATCCCGTCAGTGCGTGCGTTCGTTCATGAGCGAGTAATCGCTGGTTTCATTTTGATTTGGGAGTGCGAAGGGCGATCACCAAAAGCAGCAACAATGCTTCACAACCGCCTTCTTCTGAGCTTGCTCTCAGTCGTCCTGGGGCTAGCCACATCCACAGCCCTCGCTGCACTACAAATTGTTCCCGGAGGGACTTGGACAGCCGTAAGTACCTACCGAATATATATATATATATGTACTAACCGAAAATTGAAGTCCAATGGCGAGCACCTCAACGCGCACGGCGCCGGCGTCATCCAGGTCAACAACACCTTCTACCTCATCGGCGAAGACAAATCCCAAGGTTCCTCCTTCTTTGCCGTCAACTGTTATTCGTCTGTCGACCTCGTCCAATGGACGCACGAGGGCGCTTTACTTTCGCGGACATCATCATCAGGCGATCTCGGACCGAACAGGATCATTGAACGACCCAAAGTCATTTACAACGATCTCACAAAAAAATATGTCATGTGGATGCATGTCGACAGCACTAACTACGGAGACGCCAAAGTGGGCGTGGCGACGAGCGATACCGTGTGCGGGAAGCCGTATGAGTACCATGGAAGTTTTAGGCCGTTGGGGATGGAGTCGAGGGATATAGGGCTGTTTAAAGATGATGATGATGATGATGGGAGGGCGTATTTGTTGACGGAGGATGTACGTTATTTCTTTCGCTCCCTTTTTTCCATCCCTTTGCCTTCCTCCCCCCCCCTTCCTGCCCTTCTCCTTCTCCGCTAACCCATTGTTCAAGCGCAAAAACGGCCTCCGCATCAACCTCCTCACCCCGGACTACCTCTCCATCTCCGGCACCACCTCCACCCACCTCTTTCCCACGGCCATCGAATCCCCCGCCCTCCTCAAACTTTCTTCTGGGCGTTACTTCCTCTTCGGCTCCCACCTAACAGGCTGGTCCCCCAACGACAACGTCTACACCACGTCCACCAATCTCTCGGGGCCCTGGACCGACTGGAAGATTTTTGCCGACAAGGGAAGCAACACCTACGCCTCCCAGACCTCTTTTATCCTCCACTACGGCAACGGAAACGTAATGTACATGGGCGACAGATGGCACTCCTCCAACTTACAAAGCAGCAGCTACATCTGGCTACCGCTCAATATCAGCGGGACAGAAGTGATACTAAAAAATAGAGGTAGTTGGGTGCCAAACGCAAACTCTGGGTTAGCATGGGCCGAAAGCCCGGCTGAAAATAGTTACGAGGGCGAGCAGGGAGAATATTCCGGGGGCGCGAAAGAGGTTAGTTGCTCCCCGTGTTCAAAAGGGAAAGCAGCGGGGTATATCGGGGGGACTACCACCAACGGATCAGTCACGATTTCCGGCGTGAGAAGTGATAGTGACAACGGGGGAAAAGGAGGAGGGGTAACGACGATACAGATAAGATACAAGAACGGGGATACGAACCCGAGGTATGCTTCTGTTCGCGTTAATGGGGGAGCGCCGCAAAAAGTGGCGTTTGAAGGGACGGCGGGGGAAGTAGGGGTTAGTAGTGTGGTGGTTAGAGGGGGGTTGAGGAAGGGGAGTGGGAATACGATTGTGGTGAGTGGGTGGGAGGGAGCAGGATGGGGACCGGATATTGATAGGGTTGTTGTGCCTGTTGAGTAACATAAAATGAGTGGGAGGGTCTAGATGGGAGGGGGAAAAAGGGTTTGGAGGGGCTAGGGGATTGGATGGGTTTAGGTGGGTGTTGAGGTAGTTCAATTTTGCAAAGCTTTGTAAAATAAATTAGTATGTGCAAGGAAAGCAATAATTGCTAGGGGTCATCAAGTGAGGATGATCGAAAGGCTGCAATAAGCCCAGAGCTGCCATTGTGGTTTGAGTAATTAACAAACGTAATGTGAAGATCAGATTGGTTAGTAACGCTGAGTATCATACAGAAAACTTACTGCTATTTGAAATCCCGATTAATGCAAAAAGGCATGTTGACTATAGTCGTGACTATAGCTCCTCAGCGTCATCACTTCATCAGAAGCTTTCCCGAAAATCCGTTTTCTAGCACATCGTGAGCAATTGATCCAAGTAAACCCATATCAAGGCGAAGGAGGTCTTGCCAAGCCGGCAAGGAATAAATGCTGAAATTCACAACACAGCGAGTCTTCAAGACAACCACGTGGACATGTTCAACTCCCATTATGTATCAAAATCGACAAAAAGTCAACAACAGGTTCCAAACTCCAGATGCTCGCTATGTACTATACAAATTATCTTTTCACTTTAGCCCTTATATAAAGTGAAGGTACCTTACTATATATCCCCGCCTACTTCTCTCTCGCTCTTTAGTGTATGTATCAAGACCGTCCTGTTTCCGGTCCGTCCCGGTTCAAGTATATACCATCTTTGGTTTTTCCCATTCCTGTCTGTCTGTCTGTCTGTCTGTCTGTCTGTATTCTCTCCCTTCTTCTCTTTTTTCTTTACGAGGTCTTGATCTGTATCCTCAAGGTTATTCACATAGTAGTAGTAGTCCCCCTTTGCTCCTGCGCGGCCCGCAAAGCATCAACCTCTCTCTGCAACGCATCCAAATCGGCCAGGATGTCCTTAGTTGCCGACTCTCTTCTCAGCACGTCTTCCTCGTCGACGTCCCCGCTTGCAAGCTCCCCATCAGGAAGGCCTCTCGGTTCCTCGCCTGATGCTAAAGATGTTTCCAGAAACCGCGCACCCGCACCGCCTGATCCCGAGGCTAGAGCAGCAGATGATTCAACAGGCGCAGGTGACTCTACGGTTCCCGTCGTAGGCGCAGGATTGCCGCTGTCAACACTCCCACTTCCCGAGACCGACCGCCTATTACTCCCCCTCGGCCGCGGTCTGGGTGGTGGCGGCGGGGCGTGATTCGGACTCGAGGCAATCGGTGCCGGGGATGCCAGTCCGGTCGGCTCTTTGCTCCTCCCGCTATCCGCCCTGCGCACAGTCCCCGGCGTTGAAGGGGCGCCTGACCGGACGGATTTGTTCCTCGCGGGGGTGGTGGAGGGGCTAGTTTGCCGCTTCCACTCAAGGTCCTGCCATGTCCAGGCTGGCTGAAGCTGCTGATGCTAGCAGTTTCTGGGTTGTTGGAGGAGGAGTTGGCGGGGGTGCTGGGCCGGCTACCCTGCGCTGATCCAGAGACTGGTTGAGCTGCCAGACCAGGGAACTCCGTACCCTCGCCCCCAGCAGACGGGGCCACAGGCGAAGTGATCCCAATTCCCAATCCAGATATAGAAGTAGAAGGCCTGGACCCATGTGTCGACCTTCTGGGTGGAGGCGGCGCCGGTGCATTCACTTGAGTGGTCGAACTGGCAACCTTTAGGCTCGATGACCTCGAGCGGATCGAGTCTACAGAAGTGCGCGTAGGTTCCTCATCTGCGCGAGACGTCTGTGGTGTTGGCACAGGTGCCGCCACAGATCCCGAGACAGACAACTTACTTTCTGAACGGCCGTGAGTCGATCGCCTGGGCGGAGGGGGTGGTTTTTTCGATGCTTGTGAGGGAGGCGGTGAGGTCGTTGTTGGCTTGGGCGGAGTTGGCGGTTGAGGAGTCGGTACGTTTATCTCTTGGCCCACATCCGGGACCTTAGCGGCGGCTTCACGGTCGAATGAACTTTCCACGTCTTCCTCGCTTGGAGACTTTACCGGCGGTGGTGGCAGTGGTGTGTTCAGGTCCGAGGGCTGTTCTGAGAACGGCGAGGCTAGAACACGAGAAGCGCGGGCAGATGATGACGAAGATGACGGTCTCGGGGTACTGGGCGTCCCTGATCTCTCCTCGCCCTTGGGCTCCACTTTGATCAGCTTCCCATGCCTCGAGCTGGGCGGCGGCGGCGGCGGTGCTTTGCTCCTCGACGTCGCTGGCGCCTGCGCGGTAGGGCGTATGGGACCGCTTATTGATGTTCGTTGTGATTGTGGTTCCTCCCTTCCATGTTCCGAAGTCTGGTGGGATGTCCGGGGCGTGTCTTGCGCAGTCAAAGTTGACGATGCATCAGCTATGCTCGCGCCATCGGTTCGTGGTGGTTGCGCCGGTCCTCCCGCTTGGCCTGTGAGAAGGAGTCGTCTGAAGGAATCAACGTCCAGCGAACCCTTCCCTCCTGGTACAGTACCGGGATTCTGTGTTGGCTCATTCTTTGGGTGCTCCAGGTCCTCTAATGTCCTTCCAAACGGGTTTGGCGGTACCTGGCTGGAGCCTGGTAACTCAGGCCGTGATAGCGTCGGCGGGGGGACTTCGTCAGCCTGGGCAAACGGATCCGCGCCTTCATCTTGGTCATCACTTGAGCTACTTTCGGCTGTATCTTCCTCCACTGGCGGATTTGTATCGGGTTCTTCCTCTGACTCAGGAGATGGCGGTGGTGACTGAACGCGGACCCTTTTCACGACTTTTGGTTTCTGGAAACTTGTCTTTGGAGGTGGTTCATTGGACTGGCCGAGAGACTGGAGGGAGTTGCGGAAGTCGTCGCTAGACGGGAGTGGCGGTCGTGTAGGGTCGAGCGAAGACGAAGGGGATGTAGGAAGAGGGTCGAAGGCATCGGCGAAAGCGTCGGAGGCTAGCGAAATCGGAGGATTCGAGGTCGTCAATGCGCCGGCTTGTTTCCGCCGAAACGGGTTGTTTGTGTTCAGGGACGACGGTTGGGCCATTGTGTTTATCCTTTGTTGTCCGTGGTTGGTCAAGTTTGCCGACAGCGAGTGGGCGGGCGCGTGGACGATTGGTATGAGCTAAGTGATGGATATGCTAGCAACCCATTGTCATGTGGCGGCTATCTTTTGCATTTCAGATCCCAATGGAAGCAGCTCTGTGTTGGCACACCGGGGCTGAAAGGGATCTTCAGATCGTTGTCGAACGGAGGAACAATGGATGGCCGTGATGGTTCGAGATTGCTACCTGGAGGCAGTGTAGTGTAATCACAGAGGACCGGTAAGTTCGGGAAGCGGTTGCGGGGACGAGGCACAGCCAGCTCTTGATTTGGGAACTTTTGTTGGGGGCAGCGCTGTGATTAAGCGAAATGTTTATTCGGCTGCCTGTCTGCCTGGCCGTCGTTGTCGTTGTTGTAGTGTAGTCGTCGTCGTCGTCGCTTCTCGCAGTCCGTCAACGTAATGATTGCGCGGCGTGCGTGGTCTGGTTGTGAGTGGATGATGCGTCGTCGTGAAAGTGGAATCCAATCGATTGCGATGGTTCCCTTGGCGATCAGTCAGTCAGAAGCACTGCACTGCACCTCACGAGAGAGAGCAAGCACTCTGCGGCTTGGATAAAAAGCCCCGCCTGGGCGGATAAGCTCACTCGATGCCTGCCTGCACACTCACAGAGCCGAGGAAGGTACAAGTACCATAAACCGGTGGGGTCCAGCAGAATGACAACAGCTGCACTGCGCGAGGAACAATTAATTCATCATTGCCGGGCAGTCTCACCAAGCTCCCTTTCCTCACAGCTCAGGGCAAAGTGGAAGCTACCCATTGGCTACCAAGCTGTCCCCTTATACCCTCCTCAACGAACAGTTGGTTCTCGTCGACCTTGATGATTGTTATTCTGAAACACTTGCAATCAACCAGTCAGATCACGTCTCTTGCTGTTAGGTAGCTACAGCTAAGGTACCTAAGCTCTGTAAGCTCTGTCTCTGTAAGCTACACTAAAGCTTGAAGAGCACGAGCCAACTGTTTACAAAAAGCCAACGGTCAATTACAACGGTGAACCTTTTCTTTACCTTGTTCACCTCCAAGGGAAGTCAGTCTCCAACTTGAAGTGCTCCAACCCGGCAAGTTTTGCCATTGTGTCCCTGTCCGACGGAGTCGGGTAGATTCCTTTCGCCGCCGCATATAGGTGGCGCAGTTTGAAATATCAGTATGAATTTTTTCCTAAATCCAATCTCGAAATGGATTCTACCCGAAATTCCAACTTTCGAGATTGTGCTGGTTGCCGGCTGGTAAGACGGAGGAGGGTGAAGAGACTGTCTTCAATCGTCTTATCTTGCTTGTTGATAAGAGGTACAGTAGAAACAATCGAGGTTCAGAGTGTCACAAGCCCGTCAGTTGCCATGTCTCAAAACGTTTTATTTGCGGTTCCAGGGTTCCCGTCCAGACTCCAAGGCAGGCAGAGTGTGTTTTGGGGGGTTTGCCGGCAAAAAAAAGTCGGGGCATCAAATTTGTAAACAAACCTGGAACAGGGGAGCGAGCGAGGAGCGGATCCCCGTTGTTGTGCTCGTTCCAGCCAACTCTTCGCTTCTTGATTTTCAATTCTTTTTCACCGCACCCCAAAAAACTTACGAAACTTATTGCACAATAATAAAAAAGTGTATTTGCGAGTTCCCTCCGTGATAGTCAAAGGGTATCCTGTGGTATACTACAGATACAGTGAAGCTATCAAAGCCGCCTTCTCACGTCTGGACTCGGTACACTACCTGACCGCCAGATCATCGCTTCAAGGTCCTTCGCTCCAAACTTCGTATTCATCAAACCAAATCCTCGGCTTTTTCAGCACTGCACTGCAAAATCGCCAGGTAGCCATGTCAAACTAAAAAGGGCAAAGCGCTTGCTCAGGGTATTTGAAGAAAAAAAAGTGGTATCGTTCCAAGACGGATTATATATGCAATGCAGTATCCAAAATAAGGCTTTTTGGTGTATGTCCTTCGCTTCTTGAGACACCCTCGAAGCCGCCGGTCGCCCGTTTCCCATTTCCCAATCATCCATAGGTTGTAGCCCAAACCTACCCTCCGTTGCGTTTCAGCACAAACGATCCAAACCTCCTCAATCCCCATGAGTGATGTGTGAATCCAAGATACATGAAAGCCAGAAACAAGAAGCTACTCGCCGCGCGCGCTGTGGCGATGTTGTGAAAAAGAGCAAAACGCGTTGACTTGTAGACCAATGAAAACCCCCCCTTATGTTGATAAGTGTTCCCAAGCAATATGATTCCCCAAACGCCTTTCGAGTAAGCCCGTCACGTCGCAAGTGGTGGTGAAAAAATGACTAAAGACATCATGAGAAGAGACCGAGGCGCAAAAAAGAGACAATAACATCATCCCAAAGGGACGAGTCTATGCCTTCTCGGCAGCGGGCTCGGCCTTCTCGGCCTTCTTGCTGGCGGCAGCCTTCTTGGGAGCAGCGGCCTTCTTGGCGGCAGCAGGCTTAGCGGTGCTCTTGGCGACACGGCCAGACTTGGTCTTGGTGAGGACGGTCTCCTTGTCGGCAACGGCAGGAGCAGCGGCCTTCTTCTTGGGGGCAGCCGCCTTCTTCTCCTTGGCCTCCTTCTTGGGAGCAGCAGCCTTCTTGGGGGCAGCGGCCTTCTTGGCAGCAGGAGCCTTCTTCTCCTTGGTCTCCTTCTTGGCGGCACCCTCCTTCTTAGCGGCAGCGGGCTTCTTCTCCTTGGCCTCCTTCTTGGGAGCAGCAGCCTTCTTGGGAGCAGGCTTAGCGACCTTCTTGGCGAGCTTGGTGCCACCGGAAGGACCTATATCGTGTGTGAGCATGCAAAGAGTAACACAAGGAGATGATGCGTCATGTGGGTGGTGACATACCCTTGGGCTGCTCAAAGACACCCTTGTCGACACCGTTCTTCAAGGCCTTGTTGAAGAGCGAGTCGAACATGTTGTCGGTGACATTGCCGAGCGTGTTGTTGGCACGGACATACTTCTTGAGAGCTTGACGGCTGTGGTGTGCGTTAGCAACACGTTGTGATCCTTCATCGCGTCATGGACATAGGAATGAAAGTGGTCATCGGTGCGACCGTAGGAAGGGCCCGCAAAGTTTGCGGTGTGGCTTGGCAAAGCCCTGGTAAAAAATGAGAAAAGTAAGCAGAAAAATGGCACATACCTAGATCCAGCGCGGTCCTTGAGCTGTAGCATGACAAAAAGAAGAAATCAGTATGACTGAGGGACGGTAAAAGGGTGGTGAGTGGTGTGGGTGACTCTTGGTTGCGTGCATCATGAGAGCAATTGTCTCATTTTGCTCACCGACCAGAGAAGCACCCACAACCAAAACACGCCACAACAAAAATAATGAGGGGGTTTAAATACCGCAACAATAGCGTCCGTGATCATGTCCTAGTTAAAATGTCAGTAAGAGATGCATTTCTCTTTGGATTTGGTGAAGCTTACAAGGTAAGAGGCATGGGTGCTGGGGCTCTTGGTCTTGGGAGCAGAGGTGGGAGCAGAGGTGGGAGCAGGAGCGGCGGCGGCAGAGGCATCGGCGGCCTTGGTCTCGGTCTTCTTGGGAGGCATGGTGATGGACGTGGTTGTGGTTTTAGGGCTGGAGGCTGAGGATATCTTGCTGAAGATACAACTGGATGAAAGGGGCGTGCAAAAGGTTCAGTTGAGGTTTGATCGTGGACTGAGAAACAAAGGACGAGAGGATGGGCGGGCTCTGTCGCGCTCGAGGGGGGAAGATTGGGTGTTTATATACGGAGGCGGGGTCTCCTGGCGCGACCGAGTGATTTCGCTGATTCTTCCCTGCCCCGACGGACCTCCCGTCTCCCCCTGCGACCTGGGGGGGCCTCTGTGACCTCCTGGAAGCCGCTACCCCCAGCCCATTCCCCGGGGGTATGTGGCCCGTGCACCCCACTAACCCACGCTGAAAGAACGAAAGAAGCCGGCCAGTGGCCCCGATTCCTGTTCCCTCGTTCCATGTCAACACGATGTGTGGAAGCTGGGGCTCCGGACCTTTTCCTTTTCGCTTGTCTCATGAAGGAAGGGGAAGAGACCTCGAGAGCATGCTTCGTTGTGTGGTTGTTGATGAGATTTCCCGTCCCTACAGTACCCTCTCGGTCCCCTTCCCCATCCCCTTCCCCTTCCCCTTCCCCCTCCTCTCCTCTCCCTCCCCTCCCCTTGTCTTCCCGTTTCCATGGACTCGGCTGGAGATGCAGTGGTGCTGTCCCATCTCCCATCGATCCCACTTGTTCTTCTTTTTTTCCCTTTCCCTTTTACTTTTCCGTTTCTCCTCTTTTAGAAACCGATTGGGGTCCAGGGGAGTGCGGATGCCGATGGATGTCCATTCCAGATGGAGTCTGGTCCGGACAGATTGGATGATCCAAGGTGGGACACGGCATCACTTCACTGGCCCAAAAAGAAGCATGTTCTGCCGCCCGTCACCTCTCCTCGTCGACTCGCAGGTTATCAGTGTGCCTGTGTGTGTGAGGTGGCATGGCATGTCGCATATCGGTCGGTCGGTCGGCATGGCTGGCTGGCTGGCTGGGTTGGCACAATCGAAGCCGCAGGGCATCAATCCATCAATCCCGCATCCCATCTCTCAGATGCAGTATCTCGCCCATCCCATCATCTTCTATTTATCTATTTATCTCTCTTCTTCAACAAGCAAGCAACGTCAACCAACAGGAGGCACCATTGCATGGCTACACCACCTTACGCTTCCGACGACTCGACAGCACATTGTTACTCTCCGTTGTTTCAATCACAACCCCCCGGATGGCTGCCCAATAGCTTATACAACAACGACAGATCCCAATGGATACATAGCAAATCCGGACCTGCTTTTAAGAAGTCGACTCCGAGTCGCTCAAGCTGCTACTGACATTACAGATAGAAACAGAGAAAAGTCCATCTTATGCCGAACAGTTGCAGCCGCCGCCCTACCTATGACACAAGCGGACGGATTCACCCCCAGCTTGCGACACCTCGCAGCTTGGCGCTGGCGCACTCTTTCTCCTCATTTCACCCGACACCACATGGCCGGCACTACACCATCACACTCGACGAAAAAAAAAGGGATTGAAGCAGATCACAGAGGGTAGGGGGGGGGCCATGACGACGTTTGGAACAGCGCTGGCGTGGCACATTTCTTCAAACTGCATGTCTCTTGGGTTCTCGATGACTACGACGCTGGCACTTTCCATTGGGGTGCCATTCTACCCTTTTGCTGGCCGCCACACCGTTTTGACGCTTTTCCGCTTTGGGCGACGAATTAAATCAGATGCAACAAAAAACTTGCAGGGAGTGCGGATTTCTGATTGGCCAGCCCAACCACAGGTCATCCACTTTGTACCTCTGCTTGTCCATCATGCGCACCCCACCATCGCCGACCGTCGACTCTGACCTCTGATTTCGAGAGCTCCCCGATCCCCCTTCTCGACTTCAAAACCGCTTTCCTCGTCTTCTCTCGCTTCTTCGCTCGGCGGCCCGGCCGAAATCAAAGAGCGAGAGATTGGCCCTCTATCTGGTCCGATTTTGACAAACTTTTTAGCGCAAAAAATGACTGCAAATGGCCACTTTGCGTCAGGACGTTGGAGGAGCTCCATGCTCGCTGCCGTCGCTTTTTGCATCGTGTTTTTGCATCTTGTCGTGCTCTTCGTCGCAACCGGTACTTTGCAGCGAAACCGTAACAGCACAACACCAACCCCTGTTTCGGTAAATCAAGGTGCCATTGTCATTCGAAGAATGCCATTTGGATTCATTTTGCAGCTTTGTTTCTGCAATTTGAGCTGTAAGGGGTGCGCTATCTGCGATCGTGTCAGAAGTCACCCGTGATGGTTCGTCGCGCGATCGTGAAGCTATCCACGAAATGCCCACTGTCAAGCTATTTCGATGCACCGCACCACAACAAGCTGTCTAAATTTGATGAAAGCATGTCTGGTCATTGCTATGAGTCTCTACTTGAAGTCTGTCATATTTCGCATTGATAAATTCCACTTTCCAACGCAGAAAGTCGGTCCAAAGTTGAGGGGCATCGCGATGCGTCGAGGTCGTGTGATCACGCAACGGCACATTCATCAATCTGAGATGCACTGCATCCTCCTCAACACAACCCCCAAGTTTGAAAACTCACACATCTGTTCGGCCTCGATAACCTCTTCAAATCTGCGCTTCTTTGATTTGATTTTCAGTTCCTGGTTGCCAATGTTTGGGGCTGAATAGTTTTAGTTACGAACGCCGCGTCCTCTTTCAAACCGACTCAAGTTCGCGCACCACGAGGCTACCACCCACCCACCCAACATCACAACCTGACTTACACACCTTGAAAACATCACAACCTACGGCTCCTTGCATGATTTGCACAAATGAGAATCATTTCGTATCATCAAAATCTCTGCTTTAGATTCATTTCCCAACCACCCCCAGCGCATAGTCAACAATTACAATAGCACAAAAAACGAGCGACACGGACCGGTCAACATCCATCCCCTTTCCTCACACGAACGTGCGGGTGCCGCCGTGAATCTGATGCCCTTGCTAGCCTGCCGAGCCCTGGCTGCCCATCCAGGTCCCTTCACTAACAAGGCGGACCCCTATTCGGTCATTGGGCCATTTTCTTATCTTATCTGTGTAAGAAAAGTCCCCGGTCAGTCCACTTGCGTCCGAACCCCATTCCTTGACTGACCGCCCGCAGCCCAGCCGCCAGCGTCATCCAACCCCACCTCTGGCCTTGTCCCCTTGCCAAGCCTTTGTTGCTTGTTCCATTTTGGGTGATGAAGCTGTCAATTCCCCACGATTCCCTTGCCTGCCGCATGGTAGCTTAAAACTGCCTGCCGGATGAAATGTCAGATCCAACCATTCTGCCGCAAAGGCAACGCAGCCCTACGGACGGAAGACCAGACCGCACCGCATAGACCACACCGCGCGCGGAACGAAAGGATTAAAGACCCACTCACTTTGCACAACGGGCGGCATTCCATCCGTGGAACTTTTCCAAATTCCATCATCCCGCCCACAACCCACACCGCGCGCGCGTGCCGGTATGATCCACACCTAGTGTAATCCACACACACACACACACACACACACACACCGAACTCTCGACCGATCACCGAGAGACGGGACCAGACCGTGATCCACACACGCACACCCACACCCACACCCACACAACCTTAAAGTGAAAACTCTTCCAACAGCTTTCATCTAGGGTATACAAGAGAAAAGAACAAGCAAATCCCTCAACCAAACCAAACAAATGGCAGCTTGTTCATTCAGCTGCCCGGCTAGCTCAATCGGTAGAGCGTGAGACTCTTAATCTCAAGGTTGTGGGTTCGACCCCCACGTCGGGCTCAATTCCCGGCGTTCAATCGCCTTCTCTTTTTTGGTCTTTTTTTTTTTTTCTTTTTTTTTCGATATCGTCATCCTTCTCTTCGGGTTTCTTTGATTGTTGACTTGAGCAAGCACTGGGTGTTCTCTTTTTATCTGCATATGTGTGTGTGCATGACTTTCTCCCTTCTTTTCGCTCTTGTCTCCATCATCTGATATGGAAACTTGTATGTCATTCACGTTAGCATCGTGAGCAATCGAGGGATATCATCCTGCTGTGTATTCCGGTACACCTCGCTGTTTTGACTATCTCACTAGGTTGATGTGCCTCGTTGTTAAAAATACTGGAAATGCATACACTTCGCATTTCGTCCATATCCTTGCTAACATTGTTAGTATCATGATCATCTCCATCATTACTAAAACCCATCATGCTGGAAACCCACCTGACTTCCTATCATGTCAGTCCCCAGTCACTCTTATGGGCACATGACCATCTCTTCAGATTTCGAGTCCTATCAAAAACGGTAGACTTCCGAGTTCCGAATGAGGTTTCTGTTATGAGACAAGAACAGCCACTCGTTCTTCGTTCCAGTCACTATTCTAGGTCTGGATAAAAGTCTAGTGTACTATAATGACACTCGGCGTTCACTCATCCACCAACAAGTTTCTTGTCTTCCAATCAAGTGTATATGATTACTTGGAACGGGATGCAGTTATAAAATGTGAAGGAATGGCTGCTGGGCTTTTCTATTGGGGGATCGGTTGGCGCACTTCTTGTTTTTTTTTTTTTTTTTTTTTTTTTTTTTTTTTTTTTTTTTTTTTTGCTTGAGTCTTGCCACGCTGACGACCTATCAAAGCCCTTAACGAGATCACCTTTTCCAATTTGCAGACAAACTTGAAAAGGACTTGACCGAATACAACTCGGCGTGTCGATTGAGAAACATTGTCAGTAGCATGAGGGATGTTGTCTTTGTATCGTCGAGCAAAGCATATCTTTCTGGGAATTATGGAACCAGTAACCGAGGTTTTCTTCTACTGAGCAAGGACCAGAGTCCATTTCGAATATGTTGTGCGCTCCACCAGATCTGAAATCTGATATATTGGTAATTGAGAGGAGACTAGCAATGGTCTTTCCTTTTTCCTTTTACTTGATACCACCGTATTGTTGCCCGTTTGTTACTGTCGATCGTGAATAGTCCGAGTGCATAATACCTTATCATCCTCACATCAACTACAGTGACATTCTACCTTCCTGTACTAATGTAAGAAGTACGTCCACATCCCGAAGATAAGAAACAAGGTTAGCAGCAAAGGAAAAGGAAATAATGTAGGATATATACTGATAGCATCAACAACAAAGAAGACAAGAGAAAAAAGCTAAGAGAGCAGAAAAAGGGAAAAAAAAGGAATTGGACGAGCTGGGAATCGAACCCAGGACCTTTCGCATACAGATGAGTATGCTAAGCGAACGCTCTACCAACTGAGCCACACGCCCGTTTGATTGGTTGCTGTGATTTCTTTTGGGTAATGCACTTATTCGCCAGCCCCAAAGAAACCTCTAATGGCATACTCTATTTGACGCAACTGCTCTCAGTCTCTATCACATCATGGACCACACACATCACTACAGTTGTGTCCAGCATGGATGGATGCACCGTGAATATTCTTTTGTATTGAGGCTCAAAGGACTTTGGTTTTTCTTGGACATAGGAGAGGAACAAAGAAAGGGAACTGCTTGAGCTACTGGGCTATCCAAGTGCTAATTTCTAGTAGCTTCCAACACAGGTAGACTCCTAGGTGACCTTCAGGTAGGTTCCATAAAGGAACTTGCCGAGTTTTTTTTCTGCTACGGTTTTCAGCTGGCTTGCACATGATGGAGGGAAGACGGCGGCCCGCCCTGCATACTCACGATTGCCTGAGATGGATCATATGGATAAAGATGATTCGGATCAACAACAAGTCTGGAAGCCTGACATGAACTGACCAAGAAAGATCCCATACTTTCCATTCCTCTCTCTTCCCCACGAGACGACACTACTTATTACCCAGAAGCAGATTGTCCGCCGCCTTTCTTCTTCTTCTTTTTTTTTTCTTCTTCCTCTTCTCCTTCTTCTTCTTCTTCTTCTTCTTCTTCTCTTTTTTCTTTTCTTTTTTTTCTAAAAGAAAGAAAGGAGGAAACTGCTCAATCAACCAAGGCCTAACTTAACTTCAAGTCAGATGAGCCACATCAAAAAAAAAAAAAAAATAAAAAAAAAAAAAAATCTAAAACCGAACAAACCCCGTTGAATGTCAAAGGTAAACATCCATCAACGACAACGACAACACAACCACCTGAACGCAACTCAACTCAACTCCGCAACGTCGGTACAATAATACAACGCAAAGAGACCGAGAGTGTACCGCCGCATGATACGAAGGTAATACCGCGCAGGGACAAAATCCTGGGTTGAGTTCGAGCACGGGTCCAGCAGGCTTAATACGATATGTGGAAATGAAAGGTGAAGAAAAGGAGAGAGAAGAAGAAGAAGCGAGTGGAAAGGTGGGAGACCTGAGTGAAAGGGAGGTGAGTTGTATAGTGTTGACTTGAGGATAGGTTCCCTTCCTTGGAGGACGGGGTAAGGACTGGAGGAATTTGAACTCAACGCACCAGAAGCGAGATCTGGTTGAGGTTTTTTTTTTTTTTTTGGCGGGAAGGAAGATATCTTTTGGTAAGTACGTGTCGGGTTGCCATCAATGGGACTGGCGCAGAGAAGAGAGACCAGAATTGGAAGCTCGGTGTCAAAGTGAGTAGCGGAGATCAGTTGTACCTAGGGTAGCTGTTCCTTGAAATCGCATGATATGATATGACATGACATGACTTGATATGATCGCCCCTGAATGGCGGGGGTCACGATCTCCCTTTGTACCACCGCGAACTGAGTTGACCGGCTAGGGTAGGTATTCGTCAAGTCAGTCGACTGGGGCGATTCCAATTCCAATCATACCTAATAATACGTGTCTACTCACTAAGTGATGGGAAATTCACTGGCGAGAACCTCTTCTTCCCTGTCTTCACTCCTTACTGTTGTCTCGGGAGAACGAGCAGCAAACCTACCTAGGTAGCTACCTAGTGCCAGGCTGATATGTATGTTACTGCCGACTGATGTGCGAAGACAGCGAGAATTAGTGAGAGCTTGGAAATATGGTCCGGAGGCGTGCACTGGATAGCATGAAATTACTCAAAACAAAATGTCAAATAGCCGGAAGATGCAAACATGATGTCCACCGACATTAATCACTATTACCGAAATTGGCACTGATGTCTGAGACGGAGGCTGATAGATACTATTGACTGATTGATTGATGACGGACTAGCGGGTACTATTCTAGCTCTCTTGCTCTTTTGAGATTCTTCTCAACTCCCGATCGATGCCATCGACTTCCACGCTCCTAGCTCCTAGGTTCAGTTATGCATTGAAACGGGGAGTCCGTCCGTCTCTCGGTCTCAGGTCTCACCAAAGTTTCCTGTCGCTTCGATCGACTTCAGCAGCAGAGCGCTCTCCCTCTCTTTCTCTCCAATGAAGCTTCCTTCCCTTCTTGAACGTTTGTTGTAAAATAAATCCAGTGTCCTTTCCACGATAAACCAGACCAGACCAGACAAAACCGAACGAAACCAAAAAAAAAAAAAAAAGAGAACCAAAGAGAAGACAAACAAACAAACAAACAAACAAACAAACAATGACCGTAAACTCCCATGATTGTGCAAAGCGTCGGATCGATAAATGCTATGATTTGCCCTAGTAACGCCTTTCCCCTTTGCTTTGTTTGCCGAATGACCTTGACCATGGAACCTTTTGATCTTGAAAAAAAAAAAAAAAAAAAACCGCAAAAAGAAACCCATGATGACAGAACCACCGGATCCTGAAATATGATGAATGGATCCTAATAGGAAAGCAAACCAAGAAAAGAAATAAACACCGTTACTCCAGATCCAGACCACTTCCCATGTTGTTGCTATTTGTACCATTGGTAAAAAACGCAGAATCAAAATCGAACGGAACGTGCCGGATGCATGCATACCCTAGCACAACCCCCCCACAAGATCAGACCTTGCCTTGCGTGTGCACATCCCTCTTTGAAAGTGGCGCCTAAGTGCACAAATTCCTATTCAGCGCCTTCAAAGCTTCATAAGCCTTATCATCCGGCGCCGCAGCCAATCCACCGTGCCCAAGCCCAAGCCCATGCGGCGGCGGCGGCGGCGGAACACCCAACCCACGAGGACTCCCCAGTGGACTCCTTGCACCATTACTCGCTCCAGCAGGCGTAGCCCCCCCATTCGACAATGATGATGATTCCGTCTTGACACCAACACCAACGCCATTCGGATTCGGGTTCGTGTTCGGCGGCGGAAGCAAAATAGCGCTTAGACTAGGTCTAGTACTAGCAGAAACGATGGGGCTGGTGGTGGTGTGTCCGTTTTGTTGCTGCTGTTGTTGTTTCTGTGGTGATGGTGCAGCCAACGGAGGGTGTAAAGTCAACGGCGACAATACAGGCTTCAGACTCGGCGCTCCTCCCTCCTGATGATGATGATGATGACGACGAGGGGATGACATGCCGTTGGAAGTAGTTGGTGGCAGAGGAGGGGTGGGGACAGATCCTGGTCCGGAAAAGGGTGTACCGTTGCTGGTTGCGTTCTGCTGCTGCTGCTGCTGTTGCGGAGGGGGGAGGATAGTACCGCCTGCGCTGTGGGCTAGACGGAAATCGAGGTTGAGTGTCTCGCGGGCGGCGGCCATTAGTTGTTGAGACTTTGGGGAGTCGATGGGTGCGATTCTCGGGTGTTGTTGTTGTGGTTGTTGGTGTTGGTGTTGCTGCGGCTGATGCTCGGGGTGTTGAGCGTCGGATGGTAGTTGAGGGGAGGGGAAGTGGTGGTGAGGAGGTGGCGGTCCTTGATGATGATGGTGCATGGGTTGTTGTTGACTCGGATGGGGTGGGCCTTGGTGGTGGTAAGGTGGTTGTTGATGCTGCTGAGGGGGTGGCGGCGGCTGTTGTTGTCGTTGATGGAGATAGTGGTAAGCCGGTGGCGGGGGCTGAGATAGCGGCGGCGGATAAGGGGCTTGAACGGCATGCTGATGCGGATATGGCTGCGGTTGCGGGAGCTGGATGCCGGGCTTACCGGCTGGCGGAGGAGGCAGGGCGGCCATGTGGTGTTGAGGAGGAGAGAAGTTTTGGGGGTGGTGAGCATAATGCGGTGGCGCGTGCGGAGGAAGACCGTCGGGATGATATGGCGGTCCTGGGGGGTATGGGGCGGGATGGCCGTTGTAAGGAGGTGTCGCGACCGGAGAGATGGGCCCCCAATAGCCAGGGCCGGGCGGAGGGGCATGAACATTGGGGTCGTAGGGCTGATGATACGGGGGCGGAGGGTTCCTTGGATGCGAATATGGCGAGTGTCGCTGCATGGGACCTCTCGTCGTCACCGGCACCGAGGATTCGCTAACACTGGACTCGGGGTAGATGCCTTTGGGAATGGTAACGTGCCTGAGGGCTGGATCACTCGAAGGATCGGGCAGGTTGGCTGGACCCCGGCCGTCCCGGGCATAGTAGGAGATGAGGTGGAGGTGTTGGCCGTGAGAGGTGGTGATGCTGAATGACTGCTTCATGAGCCCGTCCGCCTTGTACCTGTAGCCTTCGTGGTGATCGTCCGAGCCCCGGTCCTCGTCACTAGCGCGGGCCGAGTCTGGAGTCCTCCCTGCGTTCCTCCTGCCACCGAATCCTGCCCTCTTTCCCTCCATCTCCCGGTAGGTAAGGAAACTCCCGGATACACGGCTGGCGCTCCATGACTTTCCATCGGTCCATCTCCGCATGCCGGCTTCCCTCTCATCCCAGACAAAGACCGAGCCCGGTCGAATGGCCTGACGCTCTTTCTCGGATAACCGGCGTTGTACTCGGGGCAGGGTGCCTACTCGGCAGGCCTCGAACAGCTTGATGGCGTCGGCGGTTGTACGGACGCTCCCGTAATAGGTTTCCATGGACATATTCGGATGATGGCGCGACATTTTTGGGCGACGCGGCGGTTATGTGATCAGCCTAAGTCTAGAAAATATGTTTGTCAGGGTGGATAGCGGTGGGAGCCTGTCGATATTTAAAGCGAGCAAGCCCAAGGTTGAATGAGCTAATACGATAAAGCTCCACCGCGGCAACAAACGGATCTCGGACAGATTAAGTTTCGTCCAGCCAGGATCCGGATTTAAGGCCCCAGCGTCGAATACCAAAAGATGATGGATGGTCTTGACTTGGGCGGCAACCCAAAAAGGTCCACCGGAAATCTTGGCTGTGGGGATCGATCCCAGTCGTGATATCTCGGGAGTCGAGGCGGCTGTTTGGCGAGTTCTGTTTTGAGCGTGTATTGTTTTGTAAAGTAGTAAACTTGACTATTGGTGTAATCTGAGACGATTCGACACCCTCGGGGGTGGGGGACAGGATACCTGTTCTTGGCAAATCGTCAAGGTTAGTGTTTCTTTTTTTCTTTTTTCTTTTTAAATCGATTGTGAATTTTACGTTGCAAGTGAAAAGAAGCTTAAATCTAGTGCAGTGGTGTGCGTGCGTGTGGGCTTGAGCGTTTCGACCGTCGAGGCGGCGTAAGGCATTACCACCTTCACGGGGTTCCGCATGACAAGCTCAGATGGCCATCCTTGAAGGGATTGTGGACCACCCATGTGAGGTACTCCGTAGCACCATATGACACCGACCACCGGCAAGTCATCTCGAATGGGTAGTGAGCTTGCGAGTAACATGTGTTCAAGTAAAGGCAACTCTGTTTGGATTTTTACAGGTGCCTGTCCTGCCATACCATGTTGTTTGTGGCTGTGATGTGTAAGGTCGTCTACTGCCCATTGTAGAGGTGTCCTGTCATCCGTCATACTGCTCTACAATAGTGTAGCAATGCCGGGCGGATTTGACGGGAATAGCCCCTCGGCTAAGATTCGGAATTACGGTGAAGAAGGGGTGTGATGGGGCAGGATCGAGGTGGAAACAATAAGGAAGAGCTCAGGTACCTGCAGATTTTCTCGATCGTAGATTGTTGCGAAGAGATCGAGGTTACGGTGTCCGAGGTTTTTGAGTGACCTCCACTTGATGTTCCCTTTTCCCGACTGCTGCCTGTGGCTGGCGAGTCATGGAAAAACTCACAAGTATCTTGAACCCTCGGAAACTTTCCAAACGGGTCGTCGTAGTCAACGGTGGTTAGTGCTGTTGCTGTTTTGCGCCGAGACAATGTTGATTTCAAATAAACGTGGTCTATAGAAGCGACTCGAGATTGGCGACGTGAGATTCCCAGGAATAGTGAAAAGAGAGGATTGTCAGATTGTTGAAGGGAGGCGAAAGCGGCGGCTACCTAGTTCTAGTCGCTGGTTGGTCTCGGGAGATTTAGAGTTGGCTGCTGCTCGTCTTTCAGTTCAGGCAGTGAATGTTGTGGAAAACGAAGGTTCCAGATTGCAGACTGTCTGTCACTTTCATTGACTCGTTCCCGCCGGTCGCAGCAACCAACGAACTGGGTTCAACCTGTGACGCTCGGTTCAGACGGAGAGGTTCGGACACTTTGTTGGTTGCGTTGGCTCTTCTCAGTTGGGGCCAGGTCCCCAGTCTTTCAGAGAAAGTGGAAATAAAACATTTTAGCTTGCGACTTGTCGAGCCGCTTGGCGGACTGGTTGGGGGATCGGCTGCAGGTCGATGACGACGCCAGCCAATGGCGCATGTCTCGGAATGTGGGAGACGGAGGGAGGGAGGCTTCATGGAAGAGCAAGGTACCCTGAAGGTACCCTTTTTTTTTTCCAATTTTTATTTATTTATTTGACTTTTATTATTTTCTCCCTTCATCGTGTCTTCCGGGGTGACCAAAAGTCAAAAGTCAAGCTTTCTTCAAGGTTCTGGTTCTGTTTCTGTTTGTTGGACGATGCAAGGCGGCGTGGTGAATGTACGTGTGTATCTTTGGTATTTTTGATACATGGGATGAACGAAAGGCTGTAACTGCTGTAATTCCTCAAAGCTACTCAGCTACTGGTCTGCGGCCTCGATAAACTCAAAGTCTTAAAGGCGCAATTCTCAAGATAGCGACCTGAGATGTTCTGCTATCCCAATACCCCGCCGGGTTGGGTGCCCGTTCGCTTGCGTTTGTGCGTTGAGGTTGACGCAAGCTCAAGGTTTTTTTTAAGGTGACGATTGAGTTGCGGTTGGAGATGATGATGGGATGGATGGATGGGGGTGGCGGCTGAAAGTGGGCCCATGTAGCTGCCGGCTTTCCATCCGTTGTTCATCAGCGCCTGCAATTCACTGACGCGAAGCCCTGGAGCCTGACATTGATATTGCCTGCTGACGAACTTAGGTACACTGCAGCATACTATCACTGAACGCAGGCAGCCACCATCTATACTGGGCTTACGATAGATAGTACTGTAGTAACATCCCCAGCTAAACCTCCGCGTTAGCACCATCACAGCCTCAACGAAACAAAACCAGCGCTATCCAGAATCGGGCAGTTGGTAACGTGTAGTTTATTTCCGAGCCATTAGCCAACAAGCCTATCTCCCCAACTGAATGAGCTATGTATCGTTAGTTGATTAGTACCAACGACATCGCCCCCCAGTCACCTTCAAAATATAATCAAAATCAGGGGTCGGTACTTGAACTCGCTGCAAGCTACACCACATTTGTCTGTACGTTGGGGCAACATTACATCCGCTCTGCAGCCCGCTTACATACTATATGGTAGACGCTTGTTGCCCGCGCTCCCTGTGCCCTGCCCTGTGGTGGCAGCGGTTGGTGGTGATCTCCCGTCAGTCAGCGCCTCGCAGCAGGCTTTCACTTTACATGCCGTATGCTGTACAAGTATCCTGGTGTATGGACGGGATCGATGGCCAGATGGATAGACACATGATGATGGCACACAAAGTGCAACAGGCGAATAACCGGAGAGTTTGTTGGTAGGGTAAGTTGGTCGTTAGGTTGTTGGTTGGTTTAACCTACCTAGTCAAAGAGGTAATCGATCTTTTTTTGCTTGGGCCGGACATCAGTCAGTCAAGTCAAAGTCATCCAGGCAAGCAACCACCCTTTTCTTTGACTTGCATCGCACAGCTGTCACCCTCAACCATGTCGGTATGCTTGTTCCCTTGATGTTGTGCTACCGCTTCGTAGCAGGTATGCCGTGCAGTGTGTATGGTATGTACATTGCCCAACGAGCCCCGTGTCAAAGGACGACAACACTGGTCAGCAGTCACGCAATCGGCAATAGAGATAACCAACGCGAACCGTGTCGGCTTGGCCGCAGCAATATTTGATTCTCTCCCAACGAGCCTACAAGAGACAAGAGAAAGTGGGTGTCACACGGACGGGCAGTCAGTTTGTCCGTCCCTTCGTTCGTTCCTGTTGGCTCTTGTTGTTGACGAACAATCCATCCATCTCGCTTTTTCCAAAGCCAAATTCGAGGCCAAGGACCCCAGCTAATGCTTGGTCTGCTTGGCCGGAGCTTATAGCCTTGGCTTTGGGGAGGGGGGATGTTCGGCTGAACAAGACGGGACGCAAGGGGAGGGAACATCAAAACAAAGGGAACAAAAGCAGTTGGGAGAAGGGGCCTTTTTCGAGCAGCAGAGAGCAGCAGCAGAAGAAAAAAAGTGGCGTCCTTCAGTGCAACCAAGTGGGACCCCTGCACCGGCGGAATTGACATGGGAATATCATCGGAAAATCAAGCTTATTTTTCTGCGACGCTTGCAACGCTTGTACGTAACGCTGACAAGGCCTGGGATGGGTCGGACTGGGCATTTCTTGGTGGTTGTTTGGAGTGCCCCATCTGGTGTCCATCCCGTCGAACCCGCTTCGCCAACCACGCAAAGGTGTGCTCTGATAATATCCGGGGGTCCAGGGAGGAGTCGAGACGGGCTTGGCGCTGCTCCGGAATAAGCTCGGTGGGACGGACGACTCGTGACTTGTTTCGCCATTTGCTGCTTTTTTGATGACTGTGACTGTGGTGGTGCCCCTCCCCCTTATTTTCTTGTCATGGCGTAATCTGCCACTTTGCTGTGGTGTAGCGAGCAATGCAGATTCCCGGCCACAATCTCCTGGGAACTAACCCTTTCCTTTTCCTTCGGCCGTGTGTTTGGAAGTTGGAGACGGTGACGGCAAGTGGAATGTCGGGAGCCGAAGAAGCGAGAGTGATACGACTACAAGACCATCGAGGTACCCGTGGAATACTACGTACCCGTGGAATACGTGCGGAATGTTCGGGGATTGATTAATCCACAATATGGAAAAGAGAAGATTTTGAAGCAATTCTCTACACGGCGGCCCCAGGGCAGGACCATGTTGAACGTCCGTGCTTCAGTTGAAATACTGTACTTCAGCTTTGTCGGGTACGTACTCTTCCTCGTAGGTACTGTACACTACTGCTACACCGTCACGACCGGCGTGGTCTCCACTGAAAATGTCTTGTCGGTCAGTATTAACTTTTCGGGAGAAATTATCGGTGAATTTCTCATTTTGTGTTTCGCACAACTTTGTTTTATAAGTCGTCTGTTGATCCGCGTGCCCTGGTCTTGTGTTGTCGTTGTCATTGATGATGGGTGTACTTGTGGGAGTACCTGTCGGTATGTAAAAAAGGTCCCTTCCTTGAGTGGAAATCACAAAATGCTGAATTAAACGTTAACTTTGTGGAGTCGCACTTCCCATTGTGTCAGTTGCAAAGAGTGGACTCCATTTCTTGGCGCATCCACAGACTGCATGTAAAAAAGCTTGGCGGTCCTGAACGGAACTTGGCGGCAGTTGGAAGGGGAAGGTGGGACTCGGTCCAGGGCTCAAGGCTGTCATGAGAGCAACAGAAAAAAAAAACAGATTTTGCTCCGCTTCCCCAAGAATGCCCACTCTGTGCCTCCAGCTCGGCCGATTCAGCCCTTGAACAACGCGAAACATTCAACGTGTTGTTTTGCGATAGCCCGAGCCGCAAGGCCGAGAAACAGAGAGGTATCCACTATTCCGTGTCAATCAGGTACGTGTACACACAACTGGAAGGTGACGACGACGACGACGACCGACTCGGAGGTACCAAGTTTAGTACATGTAATTCTGCTACCCGTTACCGTACCATACATACGATACATACCTACACCACAGACCTTACCAAGAATCGGCCAAGAAGAGGAGTCTGGTTAAGCATGATTTTAAGCGTCAATGTCACCATCTTCATTGGCCATCCTGCCCGTACTAGCAAGTCAGGTACCCACGGATCCGAGCGTCCGATTGTCCCGATAGCGGCCTCTACACTAATTGTGACGGCATGACGGCATTTCTGTCGCTCATTAGAAAGACAGACGGCGAGTTCGGGGCTTTCACTTCATAGCTCCAGGACAGCGCCGAATCAGCCATCTGACGGCGGCAACACCAAGACGCAGCATCGCGCCCATTTGTTCCACACACTAATCTCACAGCAAACATCGGCCATCATCGCACCGCATCATGCTCTGACATGACAGCAGTCTGCCGAGGTCATACCGGTCACACGGAATTTTTCCAATTTCCTACGACATCAAGACCAAACCTTTGAAGAAATTGATATCCAGAGCAGTCGATGGCCACCACGGCTGACTCGGCACAGCACTTGCACTTTTGAACCTGTCGAGATGAGTCTGCATGGTTTTTTCAACGAGTTGAGTGATGACCTCAGCTTCAGTGATTGGAGCTATCCGTCACACTGGAACCCAATGGCTTCATTTCGTTGCCCATGTGGGAGGGTGAAGCCCATGCGTGGCGCTGACTATATGCTACAATACCGACATGATCACCTCGCTACCTGTCACGGAGCACACTGGCATCTGTGCTGCCTGCCCTGTGTCTGTACACCTCCCATCACTTGGGGTTTAGTGGTTAGGTCAGCTATTCCAGAAAGGGTCACCTACAGCACTCGCAACGATATGCACAAGTGCAAAGTGCAAGCAGTTTTCTCACCTCGTGCAGACTTGCCACACAAAAGCGGCTCAGACATGAGACCAGACAAGGCCCGGTCACAGTCGTCTGAATAAGGTTAACAAAGACGCGATAATGCGGCGCACCACCCGGTTCATGCCCCCTTCTGTTCCCTCTGACTTGCAGGCTCGGACTCTGACTTTGAGAATGACCAATCGAAAGCGAGCCGTGGCGTCGCTCATTCAAACATGACACTTTCAGCCAGAACATCACTTCACGCTTCACGCTCCGTGGTTGGGTCGGTGGCGTCCCATGTCATACGGCATGGTTGATGAATGGTCTTCCCTTCCCCCCCCCAATAATGGACACCTTTTGACCAGATCTCATCATCTCACTCTGTTGGGGTCAATGTGTCGTACGAAATAGGCGATCAGGCGGCTATCCTGTTTCACACTACAACCGCATCAATCGTTTTTGCAGCCTTGTTCGAAGTCGCCGAGCTTATTCCGTCATATCAATGTTTGATTGCCCGGCACTTGTTGGATGGTCACACGCGGGCAGTTGAATCTCCACAGACAAGCAGCAAGTCTGACTATCTGAGGAACAGAAAGATGTTGATAAGTTCTCGTCTTTTCCTTCAACGAAAGTTGGGACACATGAACAAGAAGACTTGCAATGTCCGACATATAACCACCTCGATGCACAAAACACACAAAGAGTAGTATTCTTCCATGTCCATTCTCAGACACATCGGATGTCGCCTTTCGGACGTAACACGTTCCATCCATTTTCTTGAGTGCAAACATCACACCTTGCTTGCGATACATTGAAGGACCGACCTCTCTCCATCTCCTGTCCCACAGTTGTACTTGACCGTTGAACAAGTCTAGGTATGTAACAAGCACTTTTCTAACAAGCCCGTCGGATGCCGACCTTGTGGACACCGCACCTCGTACATAGTAGACAAGTAGAGGTAAGGAGGGGGCAATAGAACGCATCACAATCTAGAACGGTCTGACTAGATGCACACAGATTGACAGAAGTTGGGAAAAAGCAAGTAAGTAAGTAGCCGTTACCGCCACATCGCACATCGCACAATCTTGATACTAGCGACAATGGGCAGGCAGGTAGGCAGGCAGCGGGCAATTCGTTTTAACGGCTACAACTGTAACTTTATATAAATGGAACGTGACTGTCCTGTCCTGTCCTGTCATGTCATGTCAAAAAAGAAATAGTATCAGCTGAGATAAAGCCACCGACCAACGATCAAGGCCGAAATGATGAGACATTCTATGGATGCCGTTGGACTACCGCGTCCGTTCGTTTCCACTTTTTGGTGTGGAAATAGCTTCCAATTTTCTTTTATTCTTTTTCTCGTCTTAATTTTCGGTACAATAAGCCGAGGTAACGGCATCGTGTACTAAAGATTCAAGGGTCATAGCCCGGCCTTTATTCACGGTGTCTGGAACCCAAAATAATGGATGGACAGACGATGGAATGTGGAGTTTTCCATCCCAGTATAGCCAGTTATTGTACCTCGGTTCGCTTGCCCTGCGTGCGCGGTGGCGGCATGCCAGGCAGGCAGGCAGGCAGGCAGGCGAAACGATTGCGATACGCGCGCCAACACACAACCTAACCTTATTTACACGTCCTGCCGTATAAGTATGGTGGCTTTACATACCGCCGCGACCGCCGACGCCGCCCTAGGACGTTCAACTAAGATAGTGTACGGTAGTTAATCATACGTGCAGGTATGTCCAGTGTAAAAGACGTCGCGGTATATTACAGTTCTTCTGTTGTATACATTCAGGGAGCTAAGGTATGTTGAAATTGCCATCGCAAGCGATCATCAAAAGTGCAACACCTACATACACACTATAAGTCGGTAATAATCATCCGATGCCTAAAACATTCGAGAAGGAGAGAGACGAGCGAGCGAGATGAGGCTAACTTATTACATACTAATATTAGTACCGTACGGTTTTATGGTAGCGAGGTGTTGCTCGTCCGCGGTATTCCCGAAATTCAACAGATTAATTAAATGAAAATTGGGAGTCAGCGTCGAACTTTGGACCTACCTGTCCAACCTACCGTTGCAATGGATTATTATTGGTGCCTTGTCCGCTGCTGAGCCAGAGATAAAGCTACGGTGGTGGTTAGACGAGCCGAAGATTGAGATTGGTTTCTGTTAGTTGTTGATACTTAGTTTGTTCATAAGTAGCCAGGCACCTATGTACAGTACTTACCGACACCGATCTAGCAACAAAAACTCTATAAAAAAAGGATGGCGCCTTCCATAAGAAGCTACCCACTTCGGCTTCCAAAAAGGCGAAGAAGTGCATTGATGGAAAAAAAGAAGAAAGAAAAGTGGAAAGCTCCAAATACAATTCCACACCTGGTTCTGGTTCTGCTTCTGTTACGTAAGCTGTCTGCGAAATGCAAAGTGCAAACTGCAGCTGCCATTTATGTTAGGTACACTTCGTTCTGTTCAGGAACATTAAGCACATGGTAGAATCCTGCCTGCCTGCTATGTTAATTCTTGCATCGCTGGAGCTGTCAAACTCACCAGTACTTCTGCCTCGGATACTATATGCAGAATTACAAAAGCTTATCTGTTCCCCTTGTTCACATCCCTCACATTCAACAGCTGAGCCTATGTTGTTTAAGAAGTCCGCAGCTCAAACAGTTTAAAAGGTTCCAAATGCATAGTATGATATGGGACGTAACAAAAAAACCGACGGCGCCGGATCGGCATTGTTACGAATCCCCCCATGCCGTGGTCCCTACATAGTCGCAGGGTCGCCCCTGATTCCCGCCCTGCCCGTCCAGAATCGGAGACAGAAAGGCCCGGTTGACGATACCAAGAAAAAGAAAAAGCACCTTCTTAGCGTGTTTTGTTGGGTGTACCTTTACGAAATGTGCAAGTTCTGTAAAGATGCAACGCCTAATCTACTTCTTTGAAACAATAAAGTAGCAAGTCTGGTGCTGGAAGCCTAGAGGTAGCCTATCGTTCATACTCTGAAATAGGTAGGTAGGTAGATCGGGTGATCGGCATCCATTACTGAATACAATCCAATACGTCAATACACCAGCCCGGTAATTTTCGCAACCGCCCTGAATTGTAAGTACGGCACTGCACGCTTGAGCTTATTTCGACCTCCCGCCCAGGCAGTCGTCAAGTCTTCTAGGCGGCATTAAGCAGGGCACAGCAGGGCACCCACCACTGTTACTTCTATTCGCCTCGGAATGTCGTATACATATCCCAAAAGATGTGTTCCTTGCGAACGAAGCCCTTTTTCTCGGTTCTGATTCGGGATTGTGGACGATGAACGTTTTTTTACTTCCAAGAGAAAAATCCACAACAACTCGGAAAAATCGGATCGCTGAAGCAGGAATGATGCCTGCTGTCTGTATCGGATGTACGGTCACGTACTACCTTACACAAGATGACGAGAACGTTCATCTAAATAGGAATTAAACCCGTATATAGATGTATGGCATCGATGGAGACTAAAGTCGGGCCTTAGTCCAATCAGCTGCAAAAGGTTATCTGACCTACCTATGCCCAGACATTTTCGCTTCAGACGCCTACACCATCCATCCATCCATCCATTCATCCATCCCTTCGATATCGGAGACTGACTACAGTAACGAGCCTTATCATCCCATTCCAAACATCCAAGAAAGCCAAGCAGAAGCCACTCACCCGATGACGAAGCCTCATTCATCATCGTTCGTCCTCGTTCGTAGCTTCATACCATATCAGCCAAGAACGGCTGGGCTCATCACCACTATCATTGCATGCATTGTGTCGTTATCTGCTGAGTGGCTTGGCTGTGCGAGCCATACATACCAGAGCTCGAGAGCTCGTTTGTTGACTCGTTGCCACAATAAGAATACACAGTGAGTGCAGGCAGGCTTACGCGTAGGCTTATTAGGCTTTGGTCGTCCGTCCCAAGCGGCTTCCAACTGAAACCAAGAAACGATGGACTAACCAGTCAACCAACTCAGTAGCCAACTAACCGTCTACTATAGCTGTTCCAACCAACGAACAAACGAACATGAGCCACCCAACCAACTAATAACTAATCGTGAGAAGTATCGATGAATGAGCCTCAATAGGCAAAGTCCCACGAGTTATGATTAAACCCGAGTCCGAGCGGAGATTCGAAACCTTTCAAACCTAGATAACTAAACGCCCACTTACTAAACGGCTTTTTTTTTTTTTTTTTTTTTGATTTTTTTTTTTTTTTGACAGCCAGCTTAGGCTTATTGGATTCTCACTCTCTCGTGGGAAGAGGCCTGCCTGGGTTCCGTTATTCGCCGACCCCGGATGGATGAACTGTGACTGCAGTGCAGTCAGCAAGGATGTGCGGTATAAACTTTATGTAAGTAGTGTAAAAAAAATCCCTAATCGAGGACCCCGCTATAATTCATCGTCGGTCGGCGGTCCATCATCCCCATATCGGGCAACTGAACACTGACTTGAAAGCTTTAGCTCCCGCTATGTTACTGTGGTATGTATGTAGTGTAATGACCGACGATACTGCAAAGAACTTTTCTAGTGTAATAAATGATACGTGCACTCTCCTCTCTCTTTCGGGAATACACTACTGATGATGGCTGATCCTGAATAAGGTATTTTTGGTGACAAAATAGAAATGAGACAGGATGAAAAAAGCAAAACATCATCGGACGCCAACGACATTAGCGTTTCTTGGGCTTTACTTGGCGGGACGATCACCAACGCTGCGCCGAAACCCCGTCCCAACGCTCGCTCACTCGCTACATACGTGTCGCTGAAGACTCCAGCGAGTCTTTCTTCAGGTTGACGATGTTCTGGGCTATGTAAGCAGAGAGAAGCATCAGCAACGCTCTCAAGCAGTCACGAAAAGAATACCTAGAGGTACCTGATGACGGAAGCCTGAAAATATCCCCGTAAGAAAAGGGAGATCAACCGGTGAGCCAAAAGAATTGGAACTGCTGATGCAATTGGAAAGGAACTTCCCACCCATCAAGGCCGCCGCCGATCGGCATCCCGTCCCATGCCCCATGCCAGGTTGTCAAAGTAAGGTTAAATTCTTACCGCGCACATCCGAGTTCCCGCTTCCAGTCCCCTCGTTCGCTGCCCAGGTGGCCACCATGAACCCCCCAGACCCAATAGTGTAAGGCATCGAGTTGCCCGATTTGCTGTTCTCCTGATAATATCCGTGACGAGCTATGCCGCAAAGGGAAGGAGATCTCACCGTTCGCAGGCAGCTTAGCAATCAACTAACTGCCCCTCCACTGCTAAAAATGGGTATGCATTGAGATTGCGAATCGAATTTCATTAGGCCCGTGGAAAGAACAATCTTGACGGTCAGCTGCCTTCGAGAGTTCTTCACCGGCGTGAGGCCGCCTGTTGGCTAGTGCAGGTACTACGATAAACTATCAACGGTAGGTAGGATCGTCCGGGGATAAACTTAATCCCAACCAACATACCTGCCGCGATTTCGACATTCATGAGTTTGTCATGGACCGGGGAGGTTTGACACATGGAAACAGAAACGAGACGGGACGTTGATGTGACGGTAACGGTAACAGCACCCGCGTCGTGTTGGTGAGACCATCAAGACACCCCGCCGAGAGGTGTTGTGTATCGGGCTGGGAGCCTGGAGCGTCTTGGCCGTTCTTGGCCGAAGTTTGGCCAGACTGGACCGTAGTTGCGCCGTCTTGAGCTTACGGCGTCGACCGGGCTTGGCCGGGATCCTTCAATCTGGCGATCGGCGCATCTCCGTAGGAGGTTTCGGCTGGTCGTCTTGTTTCAACCCCGTGCCTCTGTCCAAACAAATTTGTTGTCACTCGGAGTTTCGTGGCCTCAATGATCGGCAGGGATGACTGTTACCGGCACTTGGCAAGCGTTCAATCTGTCAGGAGGTATCAGTCCATGACTAGCAAGACGTATCATTCGAGAATCACCGTTACCACCAATGCAACAAGGCAAATGACAGCGAAACCTTATATGTGCCGTGCGTATCCGACTCATCCGCTATGTTCACTTGTTCGCATCATGTGTGTTGCGGTACCATTCAGATAGAGTAAAGGGAGAACGGTAATGGTAGCGAACGTAGCTGGGTCGGGGCCTATACACCACCTTCTTGGCTATCCCAAGATGACGACGATGTATCCGTAATGTGCTTAGTTGACCAGCTGACAAATGCAATCAAGGGACCAAGAAGCAACACTGTTGAACATCGTCTGACCATGGCAGCAGCCAAGTAATTCGGGCAACCGAATCAGCCTGAGAAGACCATTAGAATTAAAGGGAGTAATCACACTCACTCACCATTGATCACCACACCAACCATCACTGGCAGTGATAAGCCCAAAGAACGCCACCAACAGGCTCAAGTCCCATCCGCCTCATTTTTTGGTATGCTCATGGCACCCTCGTGGCAATTCCATGACAACTTCGTGGCAGCCTGCTGGATCTCGCCCGGATAAGGTTCATCTACTTACTGACCTTCCCGCCCAGTCGCTGGCTTAAACTAGAACCATGCCATGCCGTGCTAGGTCATACCTAGACCCTTTCATGTGTCGTCGGCGTGTAGGGCTTCTTTAGGGTAGCATTGGATGGGATTGGCGAGCCAAAAAGAAGCCACAAGGCGCCTTCGCTGCCGGTAGTGATAGGTACCCGCTCGCTTGATCGGGGTAGAACTGGAATGGCTGGCTGGCTGGCTGGCTGGCTGGCTGGCTGGCTGATGAGAGCGGACAACCTGTGCGTAGCATTGATAAAGGTAACAAGAATTGTCTGGTCTGCCACTGGAGAAGAATATGTATATTGAGGGTTCATATGCCTTAGTGTAGGTGTAGAGCGAGGTATCTCTGATAGTCATGTCATGTCGTGATGTAGCGGGCAAGGTGAGAGGTTGCGAGTACCTGCGTTCGTGCCAGCAAGAATTCACAGAATTTGACCAAGAAGGAGGACAATGACGGAGGAAGCAGGATTGTGACTGAAGTAGGAACTCTAAATGGCATTGTTCCTTCCTTTGGCAAAAGCAAACCTGCACCAATCTCATCTCGGATGTTGACGGCATTGAGGAAAGTACAGAGGGCCTCTTGATGGACCCGAAACTGCGTGACCCGTCAGGTCTTTCTGTGGACCACCAAGTACCTCGGTTCCTTCCACTTGAAGAACCAACGTCGTCCATCAATCCCATCATCCGCTTAGACTGGGGAGCATTTAGGGAAGGTGCGAATGGATTTCCTGCAATCCGTTTTGTTTGAATTCCAATGCCAGCGGCACTCGTGATTTCCCCGTCTTCTTGATCTGAAGGAGGATCAAGTGGTGACAGCAATGTCGGTCCCCGTCAAGTGCACCTCGTTGTCCTCTCAGCTCCCCGTTCATAGCCGTTTCAAGATCGTGACGGATGCCTTTTAAGTGGCGTTGGTGAAAAGGGAAGGCATGAGTGATGTTTTCCGATGTATATCTGAGCTCTGGACTCAACAGGCCGTTGAGAAACCAGGGAGACAAATGGGCCAGCATCAGGCAAGAAGAGATCATGCAAAACATTGTCAAATGGAATTTTCCACGAGAATCGGTCATCAACAAGTTCCCATGTGCAGACTGAACGTTGTCGCTGCCACTTGGCGTACAAACTTCAGTCATCGAAATTCATGTTGGGGATGAAACGAAGACATGGCGGCGTATTAGGAGTAGCAATTAGTCGCGGTATAGGAGTGGATTGGCAAGGGTCTTCCATAACAGAGTTCACGTCGTCTTTCATGAAACTGTTTTCCATGTTTCATCCCAGGGTGTAGTGATGGCGCGGTAGCTCGACTTGCCGTCACCGCCATCCAGATGGTACATCACGGCATGTTGAAATCGAGCACCTGTTTGAGCGCAACGATAGCTTGGACATTGGCTGATCTGTGTGTATGTATTTTGCGAATGACCTGCCGATGCCCCTTCCACCATGTGTTTGTTTGTCCATTCCTCGATACTGACAAACCAGAGCGCATTCTCCTCACGCAGAGGTGGTGGCGCTAACAAACCGGAAACAATGGACTTCATGTCAGAAGGAGGAACTTCATTATTCCGCGCCAGTCACGTAAAGGTAGTGGAGTTGGGATTTGGGTCCTGCTATGGAGCTGGTCAGATCGACGTTTGTCGCGGATATCGAAATGACTGTATGGGTATAAAATGCGCCTAGCCGCGGTCAGATCTGAGGTTGGCCTCTCTGGGAAAAATGATAAGGCCGTAAATCGCGCCCAAGGTATCACAAAATTCTCAGGTATGGTGCCAGATCAATCTGTCAACACCGACTTCTCTCTCACGCGAGGTATGGGGTGTCTTGACGCCGCCTCTGCCGCCCCCTCATGGATGAGAGAGACAATCGGTGCGCGCCCTCCCTCGTGTGCATTTGTGATTTCATGGAGCGGTGTGGACTAGATCTCGTCCAAAAAGAATCGCCCCATAGCTTCGTGTCACCAAGGTGTTATGCCCCGCATCAAAGCTAGGCAAGCCTTGACGAGCAGCGTGCCCTGGTGCAAGTCGTCGCACAAAGGCGCCACCGAAGCAAACACCGGGAACATTGCCCTCTTCTGAAAGGCGAATCTTCCTTAACAATCACATCGGCCAAACCAGCGAGGGAAAGAAACCATGTCTCGAATCGTCTGGACGCCAGTCAAGTAGCAGAGGAGTCGATCAAAGCCGATTCCAAAGCCGCCACGTGGAGCGCAGCCCCAACGGCGAAGGTCGACATACCAATCAAGAGGGCCGGTTCTCGCCTCGGCGGGAGCATTGCCATCCATAGAGCTGGTGAACTCTCCAGCAACGATGTTGTGACGCTTCATGGCCTCCAACAACGGCTCCAGACGGTGTTCACGCATGGATCCGCCGGCAATCTCGCAGAGGTCAGGCACCAACAAGTCGAAACACTCGACAGTCGGACCCGGGGAAGAAATATCTGGGAGTGACTGGCCTTCACGCATATAGAAGGCCTTGATGTCGCGAGGATAGTCGGTGACAAAGACAGGCTTTCCGTCTCCAACGTGTTCGGCAATGAACTTTTCGTGCTCCGAATGCAGGCCTTCAGTCCAGACGGGCTTATGTTCGAACTCGTCCGCATGCTCTTGTAGAAACTCGATAGCATCCGTGTAAGTTATACGCGGCCACTCATCCGCCATCATGCCCTCCCACCGAGCCCTCACCTCCTCGGGAGCAACGAG